GTATATCCTTTTTTTAGATATTCATTATTTACATTTTTAACATTTACATTTTTGTATTCATTATTACCGAAGAGAGCAACACTAGGGTATTATGGTTGTATATATTATGAAACCCAAACAAATCGAACTTTTCGAAATGTTCGGAACTCCAACATTTAAGGTTTAGTAATTAAGTAAGATTAAGTAGAATATGCGAATGATTGTAACAATTTCACCAATCATAATTATATACTAGTAATAAATATTTTACTCCCTCTCTATCATCAAATTTACTCCATCATCAAATGCCTCATCAAATGTCCTATAAATTTACATATATATAAGGATGATGGTTGTTTTGTTGCTATTATCAGTATAAAAAAATTTATATAACATCGAATAAATCAATGCATCTAAAGGATGATCTGTATAAACCATAAATTCCTAATCAAAATAATTCATTATCGTACTAATAATATTATATATTAAATTGTAGTTTAAAATTGAATGAGAAATCTAATTGACCAAATTATCATTACTGAAAAAAAATCGAACGACTTTGAAGCGCATCATTATGAGTAATAAAAAATAGATTTAATACGGTAATATTCAAGACATATTCAAGCGATCATAGTCAGAAGCCGGTGACTCACCATAAATGACTTTAAAGTCTGGATTGATAGGAAATAAGGAGGAGTGTTTTCTGGGATTGCAAGTGAAGTACTTATATGATTATCTTCAGTCTGGTGCAATAGTTTGTACATAGCTCTACTCCTAATAACTCGATCGCTCGAATGACACCATTGAGAAAAAGCATTCAGAATTGGCCAACAGAAAAGAATATATGTTTCATAATGGTCTCGCTCAAATGATATAATTAAGAAAAAGCATTCAGAAAAGGACATATGTTCCATTATGTCAGACCGCAAATATCTTCGGTAACTCGAAACAACAAAGTGACGGAATTTGGTTGGGAAGTTTCGGTGCCTCCACTATATAGTCCAATCGTAGCACTTTCCCCTATTATTTGCTTAGATCTTTGCTAAACTCTCCCAAGGGTTAAAAATTGGCCGACTGATTAATATTAGTTTATAATATAATATAAATACTAATACTAATCAAATGACTAGTTGTAAAAATATGTATATAGTTTTATATATAATTACATATAATTATATATATAATGTACTTACAATATGTAGTATTAACAAAGATTTTTAAGAATAGTATCTTGTCTATTTTGATTTTTCTACAAAACAATTTCGTCTATTTTTAGACTAGGCTATATAACTACTGCAGTTTTCGTAATTTTTATTGTATATAAAGCCTTTTTATTACAATAAATAAAAGTATTTTTAATTACCTATGATAAAGAATATATCGACTTAAGTCGAGTGCCTTGTAATTTGAGGGATAAGTGTACTTTATATTAAAACTTAAGTCATAAATAATGGATGGGAACTCATTTGTCAAATAATAAAAGTAATAAAACCGTAGAAAAAACATAATCGAGCAAATTATTGTCGACAAAAAGCACCAGTTTTGACACACAGGACAATAATGGAACCACAAATTGTACACAGGCTGACAATTGGAAGAACAAGCATTAACATAACAACTGCTTGCAACAATTCGCAATTGTATTCGGAGAAATGAAAAAAATCTGAAAAACACCAAATGCAAATATAATTTAATATAAATCGCTGATAAAATTATGACAAATTTATGCAAATATTTGGTCTATGACTGCGCAACAACCCTCCCCTTTATCCTACAACTACCGCACACACAATGCAAGGATATTTTATAATTAATGGGCAATACAAGTACTCGCTGGCAACGCAGGGTGCAGTTAGCTTCATGACACAATATGGAAGAGAGCAAAATGCCTGTGACAAGACTGTTGATTGCAATAATTTATACGCCACTAACTACTGCCCGAAAGTGCTTAAGTATCATCACATCATGCGAAGTGTTAAGTCCCCGTATAAATGTTGTCTCAGTTTTTATGCGATATCCTGCAGCGCATAAACAGGAAACAAATTATGATCACCAAAGTAAGGAATTCCGTTTAAAATTATAGAGACAAACTCGTATCCATATTGGCTTTGAGTGCATAAACAATATTGCCATTATGCACTCGTCGTATTCACCCATGCAGATTGTAGTTAGAAAGTGTTGCACATTCGACTTGGCAACAACAATGCGCATCAGCACATCAGGATAATAAAGCAAGGATACACTTAAGTACGAACAGCGCTGAATCAGCAAACGGAAATACTAAGTAGCAGCGAAAAAAACGGCAATAAATAAAAACTCAACAAACAATGGCCTGGCAGGATACTTTTGGATGCGGACAACGATGGCGCATGTCCTTCCATTGTCCTTACGCAATTAAAGAATTAATTTCATACATTTTTGAAATATTTTCTTGAGATTATTTATTATTTAACTTGACAATTTCCACACCCTTTTATTAAAGTTTTTTATCTCAGCCAGTGATAGGCTTTTCTCTATGATAAAAATGATATGATATGGAAGGCAGTCGTCGCTGTGATATTGCCATGCAAACTCCAATTCATCAGCTCTGGAGATATTTGTGATTTGATTGCTACTTAAAAATGTTTAAGCTTTTATGTATTCCTTCTCAGTTTTTTTCCTTTTAATTTTTTAAGTATTTTCCATAGCTAATATTTCGAATTGTGCATGCCTGCTCTTAAAGGATCAAATTGTACGCTTCAAATCGTCGCTTTTATGCAGTTTTAAGCGTGCTGTTCAGGCGTAAGCGTTTTCTTGTTTGCCAAGGAAGCGGAAGTTAATGGCAAATTTTTTTATACACTGCTTTGATGTTTGGCAAAGGGAGCTTAAATACTATTTTTGTTGGTTCCTTTTTGTGAAAATAAGTAGCAACAAAAAAAAATTTAATGAGGATGGGTGCGTTGGCGATGTGGGTACATAAGGGACGCGAGTCAAAAGCTTTTCGACAAAATTAGGTTATGTTGAAAAACAACTTTAACAAGGGCCATGGGCTTAGCGCTGTGATTGATCCATAATTTAAAAGCTTTTATATATAATTATATTGCATCTCTATCCATCGATATGTCTGAATAATAATATATTAAATAATTAAAATATGTCGATATAAATAAAGTTAATTTTTAATATTTATAATTTTAGCTAGATAATTATAATTTTGTAGATTTTTTTAGGCTAGAAAGAGATGCTATAGCAAGTGATTCCTGTCGACTCTAACATGAGAAGAAGGTATTCGAGTATTCGAGTCTACTTTGGAAGCCGGCTCTTAGTCCCAAATCAAATAGGTAAAATTAAGCCCAAGGCAATTACGATATTTATTGTTTTAGTTGAGCCTTTAGGCGCACAATAAATCTGTTAGGTCGGAGTGCATTCATGGCCTATTATTTAATAATAGTAGGCTAGAAAGGTAGTAATTATAACAGAATATCAACTTATAATATAAGAACCATAGCTTCGACATATAGTATAGAATTTTTCTTTTTGGGATCATTAGTATATGTTCCAGTGATATATATTTGAATTTACTTCATATTTTCATTAAAATTATTTCATTGATTATTATTTTCTTTATTAAATTAACATATATCTTAAATTACACTAACCGACAAATTTGCGGGGAGTTTTTGCGAAGGCACATCCACTTATTGAAGTACTTTTTAAACTTAAGTCTATTATATTTATTTTGTGTTTTAATTACAAAAGTGAATAAAGTTATATGTATGAACATTTGAAGCTTCATGTGTTTGAAGCAAATCATTTGCAGATTAAAAAACGTATTGTTTTTTTAGTGAAAGTCAGTAAAAAAATATAATATTAAATTTTTAAATTTAAATTTCAAATAAAAGTTAAATATTCTACATAATCATATATCATTCAATTATTTAGTAGACCTCATTGTCTCTGAATATTTACCAATTTTTGAAAAGAAATTTATATTAAACGGTATAAATAACATATAATGGAATGTAAATTATTACCTTAAAATTTCTCAATATCATAAAATTATATTTATTAAGAAACACTTCTGCTCAAAAAGTACCCGGTTATTTATTTGTAAATTAAACACACAAATTTAAATTTTATTCTAAATTTATTTTATCTCCTTCAAAATATGCTCCTTCTGAAGAGATACACATATGCCAACGCTTAACCCAATCTTCCATACAATTTTCGTAGGCCAGTGAAGGTATGGCTTTTAGTTACTTTGGCGAATTCTCTTTTACCGATTCAATCGACTCAGATCGCTTACCACGAAGGGAACAGAAAAAAGCCGCACGGCGCCAGATCTGGCGAATATGGCGCCTGAGCGATGACAGTGGTGCCGTGTTTGGTCAAAAAATCGCGTACAAGTATTTTCCATAGTAAAAATGCTAAATGCACTTGAGGTAATCTCAGATTAACAGATGCTGTAAAGAAACTAATTGACAGATGGCGCTCAAGTCTTTGATCGGATATTAAAAAGATATGTTGTACG